TTGGCATGAGCTTGTCACAACGTGTGCCCTTTTAATGGAACTACCCAATCTGGGGAACCTTGATGAATCAAGTCATGTCCAGCTAAAGTCCAGTTCAGTGGTTCCCAGTTTACGAGGAACCGTGTGATATTCTTTCCTGCTGCAGTGATCAGAGACAGCTGCAGTTCATCTCCGGGTAATGGAGGTGTCTGGGTTCTGACAATGATGATGACACGTAGGGGCATGGTTGCTCCCCAAACAATGGAGGAAACCAGGACTATCCTGCACCTTCCGCCACCTGGGAGGCTGTCACAGGTTGTATTTGATGGTGTACATCCCTTTCAAGACCACAGCAGCTTACAGAAGAATGGGACGGAGTCTGGTGTGGTCTTAGTTTCATAACAAAGCTTGAGTGACTCCCCGGTGGCACTCTGCGTGCAATTGGCAACGCTTTCCCAGGGGCAACCTGAGGAGTTGCCGACAGTGTAGAACTGGTAGCGATGGTGCAGGGCCAGGGGGTTGCTCCCATTCCCATAGAATTCATGCATGTGGCACAGCAATTTTACTTCCTGGGTTCCAGCTGGCAAGCACCTCCAGAGGTTCAGAGGGATCACAGGTTCAGCATAGAGCCTGGACAGCATCAGACTCCAGACACTTATGAACAGCAGAGTGCTGGTGCAATGGTGGGATATCATGGCTTGTGTTTGGGACCTGTGAAGGGGCAGAGACAACAAACTCCCACATTTCCCCCCCCCCCCTATAAACGGGGGGGGGTCTTGCAGGGTGAACATGAAGCAGTGACCTACATGAGGGTGGCCATAATAAGTCGAGGATTTCTCTGGCCTTTTCCTGCCTCAACATCGGGGTAGGCACTGACAAGCCCACCTGATGCGAATTTTCCAACAGCCCCAAGCCGGTCCTTCTTGCTGGCCAAGAAGGGTCCCTAGCAGGATGGAGAAGACAGTTATACTATTCCTTGTGGGTCAAGTGGTTTACTCTTCCACTCTTTTACCTGATAAACACTAGTGTGAATTGGGCCAGCCCCAAAGCAGTGGCCATCCCAGGTGAGTGTCAAAGAGTGCTCCTTTGCTGAAAACTTTCTGTACATTACTGGTTGGCCTAATTGTTATCTGCACAAAATTCTCTGTTACTTACATACTCTAGGGGCACCCACCTTTACCCTGTTTGTATGGCTCCAGGCGAAAGGCATGTAACTTTACTCCTCTGTGGGATCCAGGCAAACACCCTTTCCCTGTGGGCTCAGAGCAAACACCCTTTTCCCTGCGTACTCGGGGCTTAATCCTTTGTGGGTTACAGGGTCTCCCACCAGCAAAAGAGCCCCACACAGCAATACCCCATTCAATCTCCACATATCAACAATCACCAAAACAGAATGCACACGCCATACACACAACACTCACAACTTTTAACAAGACAGATGAACCCTTCCTGATGGCCAGCCAGGATCAGGTCCATCTAGGGGACTCCAGCCTCTGCACGGTGCCACCAGCAGAGTGCTGAGATCTGGCAGCTCCAATCCTGGGGCTGTTTCCTGGAGTTGGTTCCCTTAGGGTACCCCCTTTCCCAGGGGCATTTCCCTTTCTTCATTACCCAGCTCTCTAACCTGTTGGTTTTCTCCTGTCTCAAGCGAGCAGCCAAGGTTTTTTTTTTCTTTTTTTCAGCCATCTCTACGTCCCTTATCTCACTAATGATCCCTACCCAAAAGCCCTTTCACGCAGTCCCAGTATTGCTCTAAAATCTTTACTTTTAAGGCACAACTCTTTAACTCCTTATTGCACGGTCCTACAGTTATTCTAAGCATGATTCTTAAAAGTTACAGGATGTTACAAAATATTCTATGAGAGAGAGAGAGAGACCTCGCTAAAGCAGTTTAGTCTGAAAAAGGAAGAGACAGTTTGCTCAGGCCTGTGCCTCAGTTTCCCCACTCCACAGCAACTACTCAACAAGTACCACGTGACTAAGGTCACGTGCTGCCCGAATTCCCCACCAATTTGTTACCAGCTTTGCTCATTACTTTGGGGTATGCTCATTTATTAGGGTTACTCTTCGGAGGAGGGGGAGAGGGTTTCTGTACTTCTATAATGTACTGCTTGTATCACTTGTGTTCTCATACAGAGCTCTATTTTTCCTTGCTGCATATTCCCTCCCAATGGCGCTATCCAGTAGGATCTAAGTTCCCCAGGGCAGGGTTCTTCCAGCCCCAGAATCAGACTCTCTCTCTAACAGAGCGCATCTGAGAGTACTGGGTTAATCAGCACTTCCAAGCTCCCACCCTCATATGTCCCTGGTTCAGCATATCTCTATCCCCACTTTCATGTTACAATTGTTCTGGTAGTAACCCACTTCATGAACAAACCCCAGAGGATTTTTGGGTGCTGCAGGGATCTTTTAGCTTAGGTACAAGGAGTGTTGCTGCAGAGGGAATGAGGAAACCAAAAAAAAAAAAAAAAACCACCCACGAGGCAGGGGGAGAGAGAGAAGCAACCAGCTTAATCATAAAAGTTATTTATTGCCAGGTAATAACCATAGGGGAGTCAAACAAACAAAACAGTTATAATATTAAATCTAACTTAAATTTGATTGTAAAAGTCAGGTTTACAAAACTATAACTGATCACAAAAGTCAGGGTCAGAATGCTATACCTAGAGAGAGAGACCTGGGTTCTCACCACTCCATGAAGCTCGAATCGATCAGGGGTCCCAGGTGGTGGTGGTAGCTGAGGGTCCGGAGTGGTGGGGTCGGGCAGATCCCCCCAGCATGATCTCTCAGGAGAAGATGAAGTCCCAATAGAACTGATGCAGATTTTGGATCCAGGCATCAGAACACTTACTTGAGCGTGGGTAGGAGTTTTTGTAGCGAGACAACAATGGTTCAAGGGAGAACACTAGATTTGTGTCCGTGTAAACAAGGGAGTATACCAAAGTTATTTTTGTTCAGGCTAGACCATGGGAGCTGAGCATTCCTCGCTTTGGGTGGTGTTCCTTGGAGGGTTCTCACAATGCAATTAGGGAGCTTCACTATTCTGGATACTAATAAAGGATTTATTACTAGGATTGGTCTGATAATTACTGAGCTGGGTATGTGCAGGCATGAGTTCATTAACTTCTGGAACATAGATCCCCCATGATGAAGTGGTTCCCTGCTTTTCTGGTCCCAGAGTTCCATGCAGTTCTTGCCTTGGAATCTCTGTTCTCCATTCTGTATGCTAATGGAGATGCCTCCTTGTCCCATCTTTGATGCAAATGAGGCTAGGGGAGTTTCCTTAATCCTGTCATCCTTATCCCAGGGGTTTAGGTGTGTCTCCCACTGCCTTTTCATTGCTTTTTGTCAGTCTTTTTTCTGATGCAGATTTGGTTCAAGCAGAGGCTGGGTTTGGGGAGGTCTTTCTTGAATCAGACAGGCTGGGGGTACTGTGCCCTGGTTCCCCAAGAACACAGAACTGCTAGGTAACGCATCTAATTAAGCATCAGTATTTGCCATTATCACTGAGCTTCATTGTATTCTATGAAAACATGCCAATGTTATGGTGATGAAATCAGTATAAATGCTTACATTTTAATGGAGTGCCAGCTCTGTTACCGTTTAGAGTTAAGACCAGCTTTCTGTTTAAAACTGGACTCTTCTAAGTGCTCTAAAATACTCTGATGAATCATCATTGAATTACCTCTGAGCCCACCTAAGCCTGATGACTCATTCCTGTGCCAGCAAGTGTGATAAATCATCAGAGCCAATTAACTCCCAGTCTTGTGATACACTATTCAACCAGGGTTCGGCCAATTCACAGGTGAGGGCCCAACCATGTGATCCCATGGCAGGTATATAGGCTCCTAAAGCAAGCTGTCTCTAGTTTACTTAATGTAGCTATGTGGTTGGGAATGCTCCAAATGCCTAGTAGTTTTAACAGACAGCAGCTGTGCTAGCTAGTCTCTGCTCCTTCCTCACCTGGCTGCTAGACAATTATGTTGCAAGAATGTTAGGCTTGCAAGGACAAGTCCTCAAAAGTTAGGAAATACTAGAGTTAAGTTTGTCTGTATATGTGAAATAGCAATTTTTAGAGGTTTACAACTCAACCAAATCTGTGTGGATTTTCATGGGGACAACATAAGGCACCACTTTGACCCCAGGTATACCCCCATCCAAATGTCCAGTTTCTATTCCAAAGCCTGGAGGTAATCGAGTTCTTCAAATAAATGTTTAGGAAAATACTTAATGTTGGGAAAACTACTTATCAGAAACACCTGAACTGTCTTCACTGAAGCTTCCAAAATAATTCAACATGAAGCAGAGAGCAAAGATGGAAAATATAGGTCTGAAAGGTTAAATTATGGCAAAGTTCCACTGAGAATAGGAGCTTAAAATGGAAAGTGTTAGGTATTCTTAACCAGAGGTATTGCTTCCAGCTCAGCCAATAATGTATCATTTAAACAAATTGTATTAGAATTACATCTGTTGAAAATTGGTGACATATTTCACATGAACTTTTGTGTCTCAGATTTTGTTTTTCTATGTAATTTGGAAAAAAAAATCCACCACCACCACTCTTTTTACATTAAAATGATGAGAAACTTTTTATTTGAATTTCAAAGGCACTCTTGCTCCAAATTTGCCTGTCAATTGAGGTTTGATCTCTGAAAGATAGTTTAATATGTTAATAATTCTGTACTTGTGTCAGGCTCAATCCTCTAAGGAGATACACACAAGTAAAAGGGTCTGCTTACTCAGAGCTTCCCGTAAAATATATTTAAATGCGTAAAAACAGAAGAAGCCGGGGGATGGGGAGATAAACATTAATCTTTGATATTTATAATGCAAGGAACTATTCAGAAACTATGGGCCTGATCCTGTAACTGAACCCACAAGGCTGGAACTATACGCATGTGCGAACACATACAGAGAAAGCAGGATTTGAGGCCTAAAATATGAATCTCTTAATGTTCCTGAATGTTGTTCTGAGGTGCAATATTAACGTTAAATTGAAAAGGACCTGCTTGTTTCAACAGATCCATCATCTTTGGAGATCTGGTAAGATGGGCACAAAACCTGTTCTTGTAGTCCATGGTGGAGCTTGGGCAATACCAGATGAGTTTGCTGAAAGAAGCATCCTGGGAGTTAAAAATGCAGTTAAGAATGGCTTTGCAGTGCTGGAAATGGGAGGAAGTTCAATGAAGGCTGTTGAAATTGCTGTGCGGGCCTTAGAAGACGATACTGTGTTTGATGCAGGTATTGCAGTAACTTTTTAAAAAAATAATCTCTTAAATACTTTAAATCATCTTAGTTTTGATATATCCACAATGTTGCCCCAAGAGTTTTCTCCATTTTGTGTTTATTTTTATGCTGCTTCTTAAGTGTTGTTGCGTCTGCCCACCAAAGACTTTATTTACACATTTCCCATGGAGCTGATTCAGTGCTGGATGCTACGTTGCTTCTTCATGCTGTTCAGTAATTGCTATTTTTTAAACAAGTATTTACTGTTGTGTGGGTGGTTGGGAGATCTATAGCTAAGGTTGCACTTTAGCAGATATCCTTTTGCTTTTTAGCAAGAGTAGTGAACAAAAAATGGAGGCTTTTTGGTGTTTTCTCTTAATATTTAACAATTCAATTTCAAGGTTTAATCTGTTAAATCAGAGTTCTTAATAACATCAGTCCACAAAACAAGAAAAAATCCTATAGGTTAAAAAATGTTTAAATAACTTCCATTACTGTGATGCTTCCCAGGGGTATGCAGGATTATGAGGCACCTCACTACCACCTGTCCGTGGCATGAGGGAGCTTGTCTGTAGAGCCTTGCGTGGATACAAAATTTATATCAAAACAGCTATCCGTAGGGCTGTACCAGGAACCATGGGGCAAAAGCAACAGCATGTCAGGCTGCCGCTCGCAGGAACCAGCACCCAGCCCAGGCAGCTCCTCCAACATGGTTGTACCGCCCCCAGCCCTGCCCACTGGGGCGGGCACCAGGCTCACCGGCAGCTGTCCCTGGTCATGCTAGTGTGTGCAAGCTGCTTATATGCTCTCGGACAGGAGTCATGGACTGTTGCATGGAAGGGATTGCTGTTTGGGAGTGTGTGAGTCACTTTGTTTATAGAGAAAGCAAGTATAAGTTTATTTAATGCACAAGAGAGATTCAAATTATAGCAAGCAGAAATATTGAAAACAAAGGGCTACCTAGAAAATAAAAATGTAACATGCACACTAGAGCTTACACTTAACCACCAATTCATTGCCGTGTTATATAGAGCAAAAGCTCACCCGAAATCCAGCCAGCCAGGCTTAGCTGGGATCTTCTGTTCATGAGACAAGTCGAACTGTCTTCTTGCCTCCTCAGTGGAAAGATCCAGAGTTTGTCTCCATCACTAAGTTATAGTCCAAAAGCCATTGTCTTCCCTTGCAAACAGGGTAATATCTGCTTGTTTTCCTCTCTAGAATCTCCCCTAGAGACTTTGCAAATACTTGATTAGCATTTAGCTCAGACTGTAAATAGGTGTTCATTGTGAAGCATACAATATTCAGTTTGCATGTAGACAGACTGATAAAAGAAACTTATTTATCATCTTCTGGTGGCCAGCCCCAAGTCACAGACTCTAAAAACATAAGTTTCAGTATATATACATAACTCCTCACATACTATCCGTACATACATCTCATAGAGATTATGATGAGCAGTGTGACAGGCTTTCATTAGAGACCTTACATAACACTCTTTGAACTAGTATACAAATACCAAATCTAGGGGATCTCTGTAACTCTTATGCACCCCTCTGCAAGCTTGCACCCAGAGGTTCCTGGGTTCATAGGTGCAATGTTTCTAATCTGCTGGGGTGTGCTCCCTCCCCCCCGGGCTCGCCTAGGTCCTGTCCCACTCCAACCCTTCCCCTGAAGGTCCCACCCCCACCTGCTTCTTCCCACCCCTGCCCTGCCCCACCCCTTCCCCACCCAGTTCCACCTTCTCCCCTGAACACACTGTGCCCTCACTCCTCCCCCCAGTGCCTCCTGACACCATGAAACAGCTGATCCCCCGCATGCGCTCGGCGCTGGGAGGGAGGTGGAGGTGCTGATCTGAGGGTCCTGCCGGTGGGCAGGAGGCACTGGGCGGAGGGGAAGGCTCTGATGGGGGGGCTGCCAGTGGTTGCTCAGCACCCACCATTTTTTTCAGCCGTGGAGCACCCATGGAGTCGGCGCCTGTCCCTGGGTCCCAATTAATTAATCTCTGTGTGAATAATGACAGCTTCTTAAAAACACAAGGTACCAGGAACTGCTTCAGGTTGATGGGAAGGATGTTTTTTTTGCCAGGGTATAGATGGTGATGTGCAGTTCCATTCATGGACTGGGTAACCTCCCACCTAGAGGTCATCAACTTTAGGACATGCTGGCATGGAGAGGTGGCTGGAACTGGAACTGGACCTGAACTGGGAACAGGATTTGGACAATTGCTGGTGCTGCAGTCAGACTTCGGTTGTTTGGAACGTGCTGGCCGTCAGTCCCAGCACATGCTCAAACAGGTCCCTCTGCTGCTAGTGCTTTTGTTGCTGTTGCTGGTGGTCCTGCCACTTACGGAATGGTAGTGGGAGATGCAATGCACAACTATCCTCATGCTGTCAGCTGCAGCCTGATTCTGCCAATCCCATTCCTGCACCTCTCTCTGCAGATTGAAGAGGTGGTTTGACCTCTTGATGAAATCCCCATGTATCTTCATCAACATTTATTCCTTCTGCATCCAAGGTTCTGGATCATGGTGTTGTCCTCCTAGATGAATGCCTCACTTGGACTGAGAATAGTATATTTTTCTGTCTGGAGGGGATAAAAGTTTTTCCTCTTTAACTTTCTGCATCACAGCCTGGGAAAAGTGACAAGGGTTTTCTCCTGGGCATTCCTTCTCCTCCATCTCTGCATTTCTCTGCCCTGAAGCTGCTTGGTCCTAAGGATCCTCCCCATCTTTGCAATGAGAAAATCTTTATTTAAATTTTTAATTTAAAAAAGTAGTTTGTTGCCCCTTCAGTTTCAGTCTTGCTACCACTGGTCTACATAGATACCTCTTGCATGGTGTCACAGTTCAGGGCAACCGCACCTGTATTTCCCCTTAGTGGTCCAGCAGGGGCAGCTGGATGTTGGACCTGTATTTCTGACAGACTTTGCAAGTGCTCTGGAACTTGATATTCCACAAGCCAGGAAACAGACCTATTCCCTAAGCCAGTGTTATTTTCTAAAGTTTGGGCTGCCCTTAAAAATGCTAGTGCCAGTTTGAGAAAAAGCACGCTGCTGTGTGTGCCCTGTGTAACTATGCTTGTCCCTGTGTTTTCTGGCCTTGCTTGTCTTGTATTGCATAAAACTTCTACCCTCCCACATACAGTATCCTGCACGACTGTAACTGGCAATGGTGGCCTCTTCTGTTGTCATATCTCCCTAACCATATCAACAATGTTGAGTTATTCTCTTACCCATCTGAGGCAATGCTTGTCCCCCTGCAACATTCTCCCTGGTCTGTTCCTCCATCTCCTCCCCCAAACAAATTGGATTGGCTGTGCCAAGAAGTGGTGAGTGTCTGCTCTGCCTCAGTTGAGATTGCTGTGGCCAGCCCTAGTTTCAGCTCCTCCTCTGAGTTCTCAGCACTTGGTTGCTCCCACCCATGGCATCCTGGACACCTCAAGAGCCTTTGGTACATGGGCTCCCTGCTTTGGGCACTGCTGAGAACCCAGTGCAGCTCCTGATAGAAAAGGGGAGTTACTGGACTGGGTGTTGTGGTTCTTTGCCTGGCAGTACAGATTCTTCAGGAATTTTATCTTCTGCTGGCACTAAGGTCCAGTCTGGTGAATCTCTTCTTCATCTGTAATGGAATGGGTTACCTAAGGAGGTGGTGGAATCTCCATCCTTAGAGGTTTTTAAGGCCCAGCTTGACAAAGCCCTGGGTGGGATGATTTAGTTAGTGTTGGTCCTGCTTTGAGCAGGGGGTTGAATTAGATGACCTCCTGAGGTCTCTTCCAACCCTAATCTTCTATGATTCTATGATCTAACTTACTGGAGATTCAATTTCTAGTCTTGCACTCAAATACATATGTCTTGCTGGCCTCATACTACATGTCCTCAATAACTTTGATGTCTGCCTCAGTCCAAGTAGAAGCATGCTGATTTGCTCTTTTGGATGCCATATGATTTGAAAAAGTGCAACAGGAGCACTATACAGATGTTACAGGTACAGAAAGCTGTGTACTAAAGTAGGGTCCAAATACCAAAGCAGGTTATTTATACTGCCTGGAGGTGACTTTTATAGAATTAGAGATAGGTAGGTAGACACAACAGAGGTCCCGGGGGAATTTTGGAAAGTTGGGGGGGGATGTGTCTGTACAGCACATAATAGCTCAAGTCTCAGCAGCACTTGATCTTCAGTGTGGCTAGCTCAAGTTTAAAGCACACCACTCGAGCTAGAGATTTTTCTGTTTGGATGGGAGTCAGAATGCGGTAACACTCAAGTTATATCTTGAGTTAACTTTGCAATAAAGACAAGGCCTTAGCTCTAAAGTATCCACCAGGTCCCAATCCTGTAAACTTGTATGAACATGGTTAACTTTACTATTGTGAATTGTCCCATTGACCGCAATCGAGTTACTCATGGTAGTAAATATGAGCACATATGTAAGTGTTTGCAGGACCAGGACCTAATTTTGGGTGCCTCCATTTTTTAGATTGATTTTTTTTAAACTCAGCATCCAAAATCTTACACACTCACAAGAGCACTTAAGAACATTCTTTCCTGACTAGCTCATGTAAAATGCCAACTGTTTCTCTTTGCGTTTAATACTATTTAGTTTATGAAGTTTGATATGTATTTTCATTTGATTTTTTTCCCTTACTGTTGTGTACTGTGAAAATGCCCATTCTGGTTTGTGACATGGTTAAAGTGAAATTATTCAGTTGTCACTGTGGTGTCTCTAATAGCTGAATTCTGCTGTACTACAAATAACAGTGATAAAAATATTCCCCTTCTTTTCTACTTGCCGGAAGGTATAGTAAGGAGAAGATAGAATTTGACTTAACACAAGGAAGTTTAAAGTTGCCCTCTGGCAGGCAATTCCCCATTAGAAACTCTGTACCCTATTTTTCATCTCACATTTTTCAACCCAGTTGCTTAGATAGAGTTTTTTTTTATTTTTACTTCCGAGAGGCAGTAGGTAGGAAACACTGAAGAAATATTTCTTTCTGAGAAGTAGATGGGCACAGATGCAACT